CAACTTGTAGACAAGGTGAAAGCGCTTCGACTGTCTATTGAACGACCGTTCAGAGAGTTATTGGGTGAGGTTGCACACACACACACACACACACACACACACACACACACACTATACACGTTAGCTAGTGGGAAACACCTCAGCTACTGTACCGCAATACATAGAAGAAAAAAGGAGACAAAAACGTGCAACTGGTGCAAGCCAGCTGAGCTACCGGCAACGGATAGGCATCGTTCCGGTAAGCTATCTGCCAGTTACTATGCAGCAGAAAAAAAATAATTTACTATGCAAAAGTATAAAACGCTAAATAGTAAGATCGTGGTTGGAGGAGAGGCTAAAAGCGATCGGGTGGGACAAAGAAACTCACAGCACGAACACCACTGAGGTCGGCTCCTAACTATATCAACAAGTGTATCCAGCCAAACATGTTCATCGCCTTTCGGACCCCAAACAGAGAGCCGAGACGCTCCAACCGAGGCCAGCTTCGAAGTGAGGGACTTAATTTCTATGGACCAAGTCATTGCTTGGCAACTGCTCCTCTTCTTCCATCCACACGCATTGCGAGTAAGCAACGCACGTTGCAGGAGTCGGTGGGCTGGCATGCGTAACACGTGACTGAGTTTATCGGAGCCTGATGCGTGAAATAACGGTGCTGAGCGGTACAGTGCCTTTTCCTGTGCCGTAAAAAAAGACGTCGAACACGCTCGTTGCTCATGCGGTGCTCCCACCAGATGTGAACCAAACTGGCAAGACATCGATGATCGAACGTAGCTAGTCTCTTTGAGTCTGTCGATCGAATGGGCCAGGTTTCACAACCATACAGTAGGATCGAAGGTTCGATGCAACTGTAAACTGTACCCTTCAGGGAGAGAGTGATGTCGCGCCGGCGCCATAAATGGCGAAGGTTAACAAAAGCGCCTCGAGCTTTTGCTATCCGGTTCGTGAGGTAGCACGAGCTGCAACGACAAGACGTACTAAGGTGCTTGCCGACACACTGCTACTGCATGATACGCAGAAAGCACTTGCTCAGCCGCGAGATGGCAGGTGCTACAAATCGACAGCATGCCGCCGCAAAGGTTAAAACATGGCAAACTGTATTGATGCTTGCGTGGCACCAATTGGTGGAACGCGGGTGGTTCGGAGAAAAAGTTCCGGCTATGCTGGAAGATGCTCCTGTGATACCATGGTACAAAGACCAAAGCAGCAAGTAATTTGCCACGAATTTTCATGACACACCTTGCCGAGTTGTGTTGGGAATGTGATTGCAGGAATCCTGATCAAACGCTTTGTCATTCAGGTCGTTGAACCGCATGTGAGGGAAAAGGAATGCGGATTCAGTTCGGGCCGCAGCACCATTGGTATGGCGTCCGCTGAAGGTCAGCTGCAGGAGAAATGCTGACAGTGAAACCAGCCATTGTACTCGTTGTTTGTAGATTAGTCAAGGCATATGACACGGTGAAACGCGAGGCACTGTGGTTGGTGGTGGGTAAGTTTAGTTGCCCGAATAAGTTTCTAAGTCGAACTGAATGTCTGCACAGCGGTAGGCGGACGAGAGTGCCGCTGTGTGGACAATTCCCGGATAGTGTGAAGCAAGGCCGTGTCCTAGCCACTGTCCTGTTTAACATATACTTAAAAACTTTGATGTCTTGTACCTGTGATTATGGTGCCCGTTTGGAGCATCGTATTGATGGCGGTTGGCTGTACATAAGTTGTTTCAGGGCGAGAAGCTTAGTGTGTGAGACAACCATCGGTATATTGCGGTTTGCCGACGACTGTCTTGTTTGCACACAGCGTGGATGATTTGTAGCACATAACTTCGGTTTTCGCTTCGACATCGGCAAATTCGGGCTCACCATCTACACAAGCAAGACTGTTCGTCTCTGCCAACCTTCACCAGGAATAAAGTCGCGCCTACTAAAAATCCAGGTCGTTAATGACGTCTTGGAGACCGCAATGAAATTCTGCTACTTTGGGAGTGTAATATCTACCGACTAACAGAGCACGAGCGATCTGTACATCCGCGTATCAAAGGTGACTGCTGCATTTGACAAACTGGGTTATCGTGTGTGGAGGAATCACCTGCTTACTGCTGGGACGAAGCTGTGCAGACTGGTTGATGGTTTTGCTCGTTCCTCTATATGTTGGCAAAACGTGGACGCTGTATCGGAAGAAGGTCCGTTATCTGGAGTGCTTCCATCAACAGTGCTTGTGTCAGATTCTATGTAGCCGTTGAATTGAACGAGTCCCAGACAAGGAAGTATTGCACCGCAGTGACATGTATGCGGTGTACTGCATACTTCGGTTGTAGAATCTGAGATGGATCGGGCATATCAGTCGCATGAATTCGACGCGGATACACAAGCAGTTGCTAGATGAACAACTTAAAGCAAGGAAGTGGCATGTGGGAAAAGCGAAGCTACAGTACCAGCACATGATCAAGGTGAGTTTAACACGAATTAACTCATGCGGCTGCCTGAATGGCATGGTTCCTCTCGGAAAAAGGTTTCAGCATCGTGCGGCATTGTGTATTATGACAGATAAGGAAGCAACCTCGGATAAAAGTCAAGCCATTGGTATTCAGCATTTGACGCAACCACACCTTGTTGTGACTGGCTTTTATAATGCCACACTATAGCAGACCACCTGTCGTTATTTCTCTAATAAGATGCAGGTTCGAGCCTCGGGTGTTATACATTTTATAATGCGTACAAGTTTCAAGCGGTGATCGCCTCCTAGAGCGCACAAAAGAAATCGAAATTGATCGCATCAATCCCCACAGCTTGTCTCGCTTCAGCCTCCAGTTTTAACAGTGCCAAGACGACAGATAGTCTGACAGAGTATAGCATTATGAGAGGCGGTAACAACAAGGAAAAATGCGAGGAGTAAGTACGTCGAATGCTGTATGCCAAGGGTGTGATTTTATCGAAAGCTGCCTCCTTATCTGTGATAATCCACCATGCTACACGAATCCGGAACGATTATTCAAAGAGGCACTGCCCAGTGCAGGCAGGCTCCTGCATGTTGCTCCTTATTCTCTATCACTCAATCCACTTGAGGGCATTTCGAGCATCATGAAGGCGTGTGTAAAGCAAGCTATGGAGCAGCAATGCTCTGATTTGCTCCAGGGAGATCTTAAGAGTCTCCTCGGCAAGAGCAATTGGAGGATACGCCTCTTAGAGCGGGCCGTGTTAAGTTCGCGAACGTGCGTGACATACCAGCATTGCCAGCAAATGACCAATCGCTTGAGGGGGAATTATGCTGATGCACTGCATTTTACTGACTTGTAACTCACTTATATTTCGCCAACATAAGTGTGTTTCGACATTCAGGGGTAGACAGTGGCGCTTACGCACAAGTGGTGTCGTTGGGAGTAGATAGTAGATAATCGGTCCATTCTCACAAACAATGTGTTTCAACTACGGGGTTATAACTTTGGTTCCCGCCGTTGGGAAGGTTCTGATGTCCACCATACTTCGCAGGATACCCACAACCCGCGAATAGCTACAGCCAGAAGAACAGGTTGGTTTACGCTCTGATCGCGGCCAGATCGATCAAATCGTCAAACTGCGCCAGACGTCCGACCTTCGTCATGTGTATCAAAAGCGAACGATTGTGGTGTTCCAGTAGATGTATGCTACCTCAGAATCTGTTGACAGGACGTCATTGTGTCGCCGTCTGTTGAGAAATAGCATCCCCGTGAAGTTCATGTCCGTAGTGTTCCATTTGGACATACTACGAGCGTTCGCCTTCCTTTGTTGTCTCCATCCCCATACAATTTTGCCAATGAGAAAGTATGCAAAACGCGCTGGAAGATTCGTTGAACACGTACTCAGGTAGATGATTAGGATAACGCTGATGATACCGTCTTGTTGGGTGACGGTCTGACGGCCGTCCAACTTGCACTTAACCGCCTGGCGATTAAAACGTCGAAGTATGGCATCCACTTTTCACCATGCAAATGCGAAGCTCATTTTCAAGACTGGCAGATGCTTGTACCTGCACTCAACATTGGTGGTGAGAGATCGGAGATTGTGGAGAGTTTTGTCTGCCTAGAAAACTGCCCCACTGCTAGTGGAGCTGCTTGTAACGAGATTTCAATGCGTATCTCAAGAGTTCGTCTCGCTTTCTCCTGACTGACGCACTTGTGGCGCCGCCATGACATTCGTCCCTCATCAATGGGCGGGCTTATTGTGCGAGTGACTGTACTGTACTGTTGTGTGTTTGCGGGAAGATGCATGTTCGCACCGATGACCTGAGTCTTCGAGCAGCGTTGTTTGCGGGCCATTGCCCGTGGGTGGTGCCTGCACCACGTAACCGATGTGGAAGTTAAGCAGTGTATCTCGAATGGAAACAGCCACTAGTTCAAGGAGCTCATCTCGTTGCGTAAACTACGGTGCTTTTGACAGGTATTCGACAGACCCGTTCGGCGTCTTCCACGTCGTGTGTTGCTCGTGGTTGCTGGATAGGGCTGTACGACGCGGAGAGGTGGACAACCTACAACCTGGAGAAGCAGGATGGATGGGGTCCCGAAGATGCTGAGGGTACCTGGTAGGAGACCACGGAAGTCATGGCTTAAAACCGAAGTCAGCGACGGCCGTGTAACTCTGCTTGTTATGTGATTTCTTTTCCTTCTTCTAGTAAAAAGGTATCCAAAAAAACACAGACTGTGGGTGGGAAACTGGTAAAACAGTGCCCTGTTTACGTTCCTTCGTACTATGATCATGGTTTCTTATTCAACCATGATTCTGATAGCACAAAATCTGCACAAATATTGTGATCTTCCTTCCTCCATCTCCTTATATACATATATATATATTGTTTAGTGGAGGATAAAGATAGATAAACCACAGCACCAAGTAAGGTCAAGTTCCGTTGTGATGGCGAGAGATTCGACTCGGGTCATGGCTGCACTGATATGAGAAAAGAATGTAAATGGGAAGGAAAAAGCGATAGCCGATATCTGATATATCGAGGTTGGACAAAGCTCAAGTGATGCTTACCCAGATTCTTGGTTGCGCCAGTATATTGTGTAAATTCGATAAATGATTCACAGTGTAGGCGTCTAGCTGCAAACGACTTTGAAGTGTGCTCAGTATCAGCGTCTGTACTGATTCCAACACATCGTACGCTGAGCCTGGTAGGACGGGCCATTGATCGCGACACAGTGGAGCCATTGTGCGTTTGCACTTTTCGTAAGCAACCGCAACACGGTCATGCATCAAAAACGCTTTGCAGAGCAACGGATCCGACAGTACACCAAGAAGCCATTCCCACTGGTCTGCCTCAGATGAGTCTCCCGTATCACTGCTTCTGATCACTTGCAACTTGGTGCGCAAGTAGTTCAGGAGTTCGGAAAGTTCTGGGGAAAAAATACGGTTTGTAAACTGTAAAATGAGGTTAGGAGGAGGAAGAAGTGAGGAATATAATTCCAAATATCGGTGCCAGATACATGTTTTGCCGGATGAAAAGGGCTGATGACACTGTGGGGAAACAAGTAAACGCCTTAAAAAGTGGGTCGACAATGAGAGAATATTTGGACAGCAACACATGAGCAAGAGGAAATTTTTCGAATTTCCTGAAACAGAATGCACCGAAAACGTTGCTGGCTGTTAGATGCAAAGTTAGGAACAAATCGACCCAAAGCTATGACCAAGAAACAGGACTGTAGCCTTGTATCATACTGGCGATTTGTATAACAACGCAAATCAAGGTCAAGTACCGAACAAGATAAGAACAAAGGAACACTGATTAATTGGTTGAACAGATAGCATGGTTGTTGGGCAAACGGCTTGAAGCAGCATTGCACTTCATGGATTGCTGCCCCATGCTGCATCGCTATGACAACATTGGTCAACATCACATATGTTCCCGGTTTGTCAGACAGATAAATCGTAAGCTCCCACTAACGTGTGTTCAGGGCACAAAAGACGTAAGTTACGCTTCAGAATGATCAAGGATGTTCGATTAGGATAATGAAAAAAATGATGAAGAAAGTAGGAGATCTGGGTGACTTCAGAGACACACAGATTCACAGACCACTACCCTAGCAGCAAACGTAGACGGACAATGCAGTGAAGCTGATGGAAACTGATGAAATAAGTTGACGTACAAACCAGATTCGCCTGGTTACGGAAAATTACTAAATCTATGGCTGCACAAGACTAGGATTAAGAGTTCAATGTGTATTTCAACCATTGGGAAGTGCTAATGCGAGCATGTCATAGCTAGCAAGATGAGTCCTTGAAAATGCAGCACTCACGGAAATTAGGTAAGAAAACAGTAAATTGCATAAGTGAATTCGGTGAAAACATACGAAAGATCTTATTTGGAGAGCATTTCCCAACAAGTCGATCGGAGACCCTTCGGTCAATCAAAACCCGACCATCATCTAAGCATCTCGTTGAGTAACCTCACTGGCTGATCAGGAGAATGTTTAGCAATCATCTGATACCATGCTCTATTGAGCAGCCCCAAAATCTATGAAACAGTCGAATTCGTCACATAGTTCGCCATGTAATCAAAGACGAGGTTCAGATGACGAACAAAAATCGAACGGGACAGACAACTGGACATACAGAAGGTGCACTAATTTAAGTACCTCCTATATTCCGAAGGTGAGACAATTTACAGTTGGCGAATATCCAAACTTGCTCGAGAAATGATAATGGCGTCCCGTAGCTGTGGTTGCATAGCATTCTTCTACGCAATCGAGCACAACTTCTTATAATAAGAAATAAAAAATTGGGAAAGTAACGCTTTGGCATGGGTCGCGAACATGATGTATATGTTGCGTGTCAGCTGTGGAAAGATATCCGGCTACTAAGCTATTGCATCTTCAAGCAGTACACATCAAAAGTGCTGCGAATTAGGCAAAAATAAGTTGCACGCTCAGACTCCACCAACAAATGGAACGCAGATTACAACGATACATGAGAATCGCATTGTAACGCGACGCTGTGCATAACAAGAGTATCGTTACCGAAGCATGACGTATTAACCCTAGCGCGGCTTAATGCGGTCATCGACGTTAACCATTAGGAGGCACATAAAAAGTGACCAGAATCCCGATGCCGCGGTACCTCACAGTAATTGCAAGGATTTAAATAAAAATTACACAGATCGTCAGCTGTACACCGTAAAGATGCTTCGCTGGCGCACGACCACCACTAGTCGCGCGTAGGCTGAGTGTACCACGAGGACGCCCGCCCCTACGCAGATTGGAATCAGTGAGTTTATGATTGCAACCCAGGCGCGAAGATCACCCGGCCGCTGGCCGACGTTTTAGGAATATAGTTAAGTGAATCGCATAGTTGAGTTAGAAAACTGCATACCAACAATTTGGGAAAGCGAAACTTGTCAGATTGATAACCGACAGAAAGTAGAGATTATCAGAAGCAGCTGGATCGCAAATAGCAGAGAAATTGAAATCGAAATGAAGCATATACGTAAATAATTGCGAACGTATTAAGTTGCCTTACGATACAGTCGCATACACATAAAAGAAATTCTGTCGAACGTTATGGTGATGGAGAAACAAATCTTCGTGCGGATTTTCGGGTTGGTTCTAAAATTCTACGAAGCAGGATAAACAGGTTGCTTACACTGCAAGTAGTTGTATCAGCGCACGCGAAATCGAAGACGAAAGAAAGCCATCAAGAGTACGCCGGTACGTAGTACCGACGGTTTGCTGAAGCGCAGCCACCACCGTCGTACTTGGGCTAAGGATAATGCGAAGGTCGCCCTGCCCCTATGCAGGCTCGAAACAGCGCCGTCAGACTACAAGACCAGCTCGTCACCTTCATGCCACGAGCCAGCGGTGGCATCGAATACGAGGTCATGAATCGTATAGTAAAGCCTCAAGGTGCTTTTGTTAAGTTTCGCCACCTATAGCGTCGGCGCGACATCATTCTCCCTGAAGGGTACAGTTTACAATGCATCGAACGTTCAATCCTACTGTATGGTTGTGAAACCTGGCCCATTCGATCGATAGACTCAAAGACACTAGTTACGTTCAGCCACCGATGCCTTCGCAGTTCGGTTCACATCTGGTGGGAGTACCGCATGAGCCACGAGCATGTTCGATGCCTTGTTCGCGGCACAGGAAAAGGATATGAACCGCTTAACACCATTAGATCATATACCAGGCTCCGATGGTTCAGCCACGTGTCATGCATGCCGGCCCACCGACTCCCGCGAAGTGCGCTCTTGGCGCACCGGGGGGGGCGGATGGAAGAAGAGGGGCGGCCCAGCGAAGATTTGGTCGAGAGGAATGAAGACCCTAGGTTCCAAGCTGGCCTCAGTTAGTGTCTCGGCTCCCTGATTGGAGTCCGAAAGATGATGAACACGTTTGGCTGAACACACTTGACCTGGCAAGCAGCCGACCTCAGTGGTGTCTTTCTTGCGAGTTTCTTCCTCCTTCCCTCGCCCTTTTAGTCTTCCCCTACAACCACGGTCACAATTTCCAGGTATAATGTAACTTTTTTGCGGCACAATAGCTTAGGTGTTTCTCACCTCCAGCTAACGTGTATAATGATGATGACACTACAACCACGCCCGGCAGTTGTTGCTGCGACCACCGTGTAGGCTTTACCAACGTTTGAAGTCCTATGAACAAGTGTGATGAACTCAGTCATTTCGTTGCATCTGAGCGGCCAAAGGTAGTGGGACTCACAGAATCATGGCTGCATTGCGAAATGATGGCTTAGCAAATCGAGCGCATTCGCTACACGTGCATTCAGTGTGATAGACTCGCGTGTGCCCGCGGTGGATTCTTAATCTACAACTAGTACTCTCTATGAGTGAGATTTGTAAGTCTACAGAAGCGACGATGACCTGTGTGAATGGCTGTGGTACTCGATCCACCTTAGGCGCGGTGAGCTGCTCGCAGCCACCTGAGCAGTCGTTTGGATTGTCTGCAGCAGCGTCGAAGCCAAATCCCCTCTTCTGCTCATATATGACTTTAATTGTCCACGAACAGTAGTATTAGTAGTATAAACAAGTCTAACGAATAGACGTAGAGCCAAACAAAACCATGAAAATCGCTGGAAGAAAACAGGTTTAATCACCGCATCATCATCATCATCATCATCACGTTAGCTGAAGCTGAGTAATACACTTTAGATATTGTGCCGCAATGAAAGAACGAAGCACTTTGTTAGTTAGTTTGTCTTTTTCAATCGATAAGTATTAAGCATTTAAATATAAACAAGTATGTACACAGATCTCGCTGGCGTTGAGCTCCTCCCAGGTAGTCGAGTTGTTGATTTGGATTATGCTGATGATATCGTCTTGCTGGGTGACGATCTACAGGTCGTCCAACTTGCATTAAACCGCTTGACGATTGAAGCGTCAAAATACGGTATGTACTTTCCGCCATCCAAATGCAAGGCTCTCCTTCAAGACTGGCAGGTGCCTCTGCCTGCACTCACGCTTGCTGGTGAGACACTAGAGGTTGTGGAGAGCTTTGTCTACTTGGGAAGTTGCATCACTGCTGGTGGGGCTATTGGAGACGAGATTTCGATGCGCATCTCGAGAGCACGCCTCGCTTTTTCTAGGCTGAGGCATTTGTGGCGTCGCCACGACATTCGTCTCTCCATCAAAGGGCGGGTCTATTGTGCAACTGTTCGTGCTGTACTGTTGTACGGATGCGAGACCTGGCCCATTCGTAAAGATGACTTGCGCAGGCTATCCGTCTTCGAGCACCGCTGTCTGCGGTCCATTGCCCGTGTGTGGTGGCAGCACCACGTAAGCAATGTGGAAGTTAGACAGCGTGTCTTGGGACGTGGAAGCCACTCGCTCGAGGAGCTCATCTCACTGCATCAACTGTGGTGGTTGGGACACGTATTGCGCATGCCTGTTCAGCGTTACCCCCGTCGTGCGTTGTTTGCACTTGCTGGACAGGGCTGGAAGAGACGGTCTGGTGGACAGCCTACAACATGGAGAAACCGCATGAAAAAGTTGACGAAACAATTGGCCTCGGCCGGTTGTTGTCGACTACCTGGTTGGGGTCCGAGAGATGAGGATACTTGCTGGTTGAAACCCTTGGAAGTTATGGCTCAAGATCGATGTCAATGGCGGACGTGTGCATCAGTGTGTTGCGGTGTCCCTTCTTCCTCCCCCTAAAAAAGAACAAACTGAAAAAAAATTTCAAAATCTGTGAGTGGTAAACTTGACAAAAAAGCATTTCTTGTGGCTCTTTTCTTATTATTCATATTGTTTTCCTATTCAGCCATGATTCCGATGGCACAATATCTGTACCACAGATTGTGTATAATATATATATATACATATATATATATATATATATATATATGTACACAGATCTTCTACTGGTCTCGATTGCGCGCCATTTCCTGAAAT